ATTCATATTTTTAGTAAGCGGATTTTTACTACCTAATTCTTTTTCTTAAATAAAAGGAGTCAAAGTCCCGTCAAAATCGGTCCAGCCTTTTCGGAGATTAGCCGGAACAAACGGAAAAAAAAGATTTTTTCTTATAGGTAACTACCGTACATATTTTTATTATATTCATAGTATGTACAGACAACAGATTCTATTCGTCAGATTGTATGTTTGTTTGTCACCGAGAATGCCTAAAAATAGAACTTACAATGTTATTGTAATTATCCTTGCAAATGCCGGTATGTACTTAACAATAAAAAAATATGAATATCTGAAACAGATTGGACAAGCGCGAGTCCGATTCGCATATGGAAAGTGCTTCATTAATTTATTTTATATTTTCATTAGACTACAGAATTGTCTGACAGTTTCCATTAGACATCTATTTACTAAAGGAAATAAGAAACTTAATAATAGTTGTAAAGGCTCGGTGTACTACATTGATATACAAAAATTCAAGATACACAATTAGCGTCTCAAAAATGTCCTACAAAAAAGTGCACACACACAAGTTTAACATCTCTTTTTTTTATTTTTCATTTCGGCAGATTGTAAAGAAGACGCACATTGTTTCGTTTAAAAAGGTACTTTTTATGGTGTGCGTAAGTTCGAATTTGTGTTTAGACAATTAGAGCATTCAATTATTGAATTTTATTCTTTGGTTTGACTTAACGTCACATGTCGACGCCACTTTTTGAAGATATATTTGTAAGGAAATGTGTATTATATATGTTTTTATATATCGATGGTGCTGTAGTTCTGAGTCGCATCCATACATTAAATATATTTTTTTCAACCGACTTCAAAAAGGAGGAGGTTCTCAATTCGACTGTATGTTTTTTTTTATGTTTGTTACCTCAGAACTCCGTCATTTATTAACCGATTTGAACAATTTTTGTGTTGTTTGAAAGTGTATACTTCCAGATTGGTCCCATTTAAATTTCAAAAAAAAATACCACCTCTAAGGGTGGAAAAATGGCTAATGATGAATTTAACCTACTTCTAATTGTCATATTGACTTGAAACTTTGCAAGTGTTTCTATTTCCGTTGATAGTACAGTAGTTCGGTATAGTTGACCTGATCTGATGGTAAGGCCAGAAGGTGGATAGGTGGAACTCATCAACGGCTAATAGTAGATACTTTGAATTTAGGCTTGTTTTGTTTGATTTGACAAGCCTAATCGTTAGAATTCTTACTTTGCTACTACAGTCTACACTAAAAAGGGAAAAATAAAAACTTTTTAACAAAAAAATAAAAACCGACTTCAAACAAAAGCACTAAAAAGTAAAAAATAACTGATTGGTAGTTTTCATTTACTATACATACCTAATTAAATATTTTCGAAGTCGGTGTGCTTTGGCTAAGTAATTAAAGCCTACCTATTAAATACATACCTAATCAAATATTTTCGAAATCGGTGCCAGGCCATATAAACCAAAGCACACCGACTTCGAATATATTTGATTAGGTATGTATAGTAAATGAAAACTACCAATCAGTTTTTTTTACTTTTTAGTGCTTTTGTTTGAAGTCGGTTTTTATTTTTTTGTTAAAAAGTTTTTATTGGAAAATCTTATTAAGATAGTCATTATTATCGATACCGAGGCCGAATCTGTAGTTTTTGGAATTTTTGTCTGTCTGTCTATTTGGGAACACATCACAAGAAAACCACTGGACAGGATTTGATGAATTTTTTTATGATGATAGCTCGCTATCCGGGTCAACGTATAGGATACTTTTTACTGTGGGAAAATATCTCATCTCTGAGAAATCTAGCCTAAACGTTAAAACGTACCTAGGGACGAACTCGAGCGAAACGAATGTGAGTCGCTAGTAAAAAATATAAGAACCGAGTTTCCTAACACATTGCATACACATTTTTCGTAGACCAGCACTCGATTGTAGCCGAAAATGAATGCTCTTCATTCAACCAAATAGCTTTTCTAAACCAAGAGCAAAATGGCTACAGAATTTGGACGACTTAGATAACCCTATAAAAGATAAATTGTTTGTAAAACATTAACTTCAGTAATAAAATTTGCATCATGTTTTCTTTGTATTTTTACTGCTTACAATATTTTAGCATACACACGTTGGGCTCAGTTAATAGTAACCCTACTTGCTGTTCCAGCTGTCGCGGGTTTGAGTCTTGTAGGCGCGGGTTTGAGGGCTTATACTCTGAATTTCAATTATTTTATTAATTTACCTGGATGTAAATTTCTAAGAAATTAATTAGTAGAAATCTATTGTTAACTGACACGCCAGCATGTCCGCGGTCGTGGAAGGAATAATAGTGGGTAGGCACTGTTTGTAACAAGTAAATGTGTTTGAGACGTCTATAACCTCAGTCTCTCCCGTGACCATGATTGCTGTAAAGCATTCAAAACGTCGGGAACCAAAAAATCAAAATAAATCCGCGAAATAATCCGAAAAGATAGTTTTATTTAAAATTATATTTACTGAGAAATTAAACAGTTCGTTGATATATTGATGCTGATTTTTATTTGTGTGCTTGATGCATTTACATGTTTGGTTATTTGAACGCCTGGGCGAATTAAATTTGAACGAAATTCAGTATAGGTACAAGTAGATGACCTGAAGTAACATATTGGCTATAATATGAAGCACCTAGGGACGCACCCGAGCGAAGCGATATTAAATCGCTAGTTTTAAAATGAAAAAAAAAACAATCGATATAACAGACGTTTACTATTCGATAAAATAATCGATAAAAAAAACTAATTTTATGGAACTCAACAAAGTTATTTATAACAAACGAAAATGAAACAAGATACAAACAACAATCGATAAGATAAACCACACATGTGTTAATCGATTCTGGAAAAGATAGTCGAATATTGGATATTGGAGGACAATAAAGTTATTGAATAATTTCTTCCGTGCATATAAATATATGGCTGAGGTCTTTGGTTCGAGTCCCGAGTCGGACCAGTTGTAGTTATTAGGTGTTTTTGCCAAGAAATTGTCAAGAACAGCCGTAGTTGAGAATTTGTGGATGTTACATCCAGTGTTGTAACATGAAAAAAGCCTTTGTTTTGTTCATTACATGGTTAAAAAAACTTAGTGCCATTGTTTTTTTTTCAAACTTTGGTTTTTCTTTTTCAAAAAATTTTATTTATGTATGTTTTCTAATTTCTTACATTGTATAAAAATTACAAATCGAATTAAGTATAACGAATCAATTAAATAAAAAAATATTCTTCTTCTGTGTCAATGTCAGTACTACTTTCAGTATCAGTGCCACTTACACTAGTCTTGTGCTTGTCAGTGACGGAATTTTCACATGTAAGCTTGGTACTATTCGACCAAAAAAGTATGGCAGATTTAAAAATAAACAGACAACCGTTATATGAACTCTTAAGTATTAATCTTTTACGGAAACTACCTCAATACTTTTGAATTCTGTACTCTTGAATAAAAACATACTCCAAAAAAACTGTTTTTTGTTTTTTTTCGCGATAGAAAAAAGTCTTTTTTTGCAACTCTAGATACACCCTCATCATGGACTAGGTTTTTCTTTACTAGGATTGTCTCATCCGTTTTTGAAAGTGAAAGAAATAGAGAGTACACTTATGTTAGTGTACTACGAGTATAATATATAATATAGACGACACATTCGGCTCAGTTTATTGTGACCCTACTTGCTGTGTCAACGATCGTGGATTCGAGTCCCGCTGACGCATTCATTTGTGTGATGAGCACGAATGTTTTTTTTCAGTCATGGGTGTTTATATTTTTAATATGTATCTATTTAAAGTTATTTATATATATATATATATATATATATATATATATATATATATATATATGTAGTGTATCAACTATCTGGTATCAATAACACAAGCCTCGTAGCTTACCATGGAACTAGATAGTGACGTGTGCTAATGTCCAAACATATTTGTAATTAATATCTACCGCACAGAGGCTATACCCAGTGAGATGTGTCACCATGACCAAAATCGATATATAAATAGGCAAAACCAAAAGACAGAATGTAGTATTTTTCCAATACTTTAATATTGTATTATGACTGTAAGAGATCCTTTTTAGAGATAAATCCTTCTTTTTTGTTAGCTTAATATCCACGCATAATATGTTAAATAAGCATTAGCCTTTTTAAATATTACCAAAAAAAAACTTATTTTTTAATATTGGACATCTACATCATCAAACAACACACAATAATAGCACTATAACATTAGCATATAACTACACATAACAAAAAAAATCCTTCAAATGTCACTTTAAATTCAAAATTGCAACCTTTTTATTATATTTCATGAGCAACGCAAAGGCCATAAATATTATTTCTAACAAAAGATAAAATTAATATTCATCACATGTATATTTTTTTTAATCTTCAACGTACACCAAAACAATGTATTAAATAAGACTGAAAAAGCTTCGAAGCTAGGGTAAGTCACAGTGGTATTACAAAATAGCTAATTATAATACCATTTCCGGCTTCACACTATATTTGACGCTTCAATTATCCTATACTTTTAGACGATCAGGGCTCGGAAACCCGTTCAATTTTTAAACCGGTTTTGGTTATTGACCCCAAACCGAAAGGCTTTTCGGTTTAAGGTTTCGATTACGTTCTTTAACCGGTTAAATCCGGGAAAAATATTTTTGACGAATTTAAGTTCCACAACGAAAATTAACCGGTTAAAATGAGTTTTTGTGCGTTTAAATTTGGCGCGTCTTTGTTGATGGTGAATGGCTAAGTAGAAGGAAGGATGCATGTACGTTTCTTACTTTTGAAGGAATTAACCCGTTTATTTCGGTATCAAAACCGTAATCCAACCTTTCTCTAAGAATAACCTTTACCCATTTACTTTGGTTACTAAACCGTTTGTTGTAAATTACCCATTACATTACCGAAATAAACCGTTTGTTTTAAACCGGTTCCGAGCCATGGTAAATATATACAACTCACCGCTTCTAACAATTTTTCCTGCAATATACACATTCTGTGTAGTGTATCTTTCATCTTTCTTCTCCGTTTGAAGAGCCTCAAGATTGGCAGAGGGTAAGTTATCGTAATTAATAAGTGAGAATTTTTTTTTGTATCGCAGAGAGCTGTTAAAAACATTTCTGAGGTCAATTTCACATATATTTGTCTAAATTCTATCAAAATCGGTTTAGTGTTAAGAAAAAAATTGTTTAAGTTTTTAACGTAATGAATTAATATATCTTATTTCAATTTTGAATTTAATATTTGCTGTATTAATAAAAATTGGTTATATAAAACAATATATAGCTTTTACACGTAAAAGATATTTTTTGCCTGCCTGAATTTAATAAAATAACTAAGCAAAACCCCAACCTCAAAACCCAACACTAAACCAATTAAGATAAAAGTAAACAAAACTTACAATTACAAAAAAAATATCACATACCTACAAACAACATCGTCACTAGACGAAGAAACATCAACAGACTGACCAAACCTCTCGACAGATGGCGCTGTTTTAGTTATAAGGAAATTCTCCGGCGAACTGAACAGTACTTCCGATCTTTTCTCTCTCTTTATCGCTTCATCATTTTCGGAATCTGTCTTGACCCCAGACTCTCTCAAATGACCTATAGCTTTCCTCGCAGCACTAGATTTAGACACAGACGGCGTAGAGCTACGCCTTTTTGGTATAAACCTAGCGATATTCTCCTCGAAGAGACTTGGCGATTTTTCTCTCCCAACACGTTTTTCACCGAGTGACAATTTGGGTAATTCGAAACATCTCAGAATCGGTAATTTCGAATCGATTTTGAAAGGACTCGATGTTAGACTTTTCGATATTTTTTCGTCGTTTTTTAAATATTTTGGAACTACACGCAAGCTCTGGGGGGAGTAATCGGAGATAGAAAAAAGGGGGGATGGTGAGCTACAAGTGGTCTCAGCCAATTTGAGAACTAATAGCCAAATTTATTAGCAGTACAGTTAGAGCGATAAGTGCAAAAATGTTGGAAATAAAAATAAATGATTAGATCATTTAGAATACCTTTAAAAATCGACCTTAAAACCTAAATTTGCTATAAAAAAATTAAACATAGTGAGGTCTTGTTATTACAAATGTAATAGATCAATTTTTTAGTAAAAATTTTTTTTGTAAAAAGTATTAATAAAAACACGCTGTTATAGACATATCTAAAAATAATAATAATGTATATAAATATTGAGGATAAAAATTTCAGAAATATGTCTTTTAAATTTAAATATGTAAATTACTATATACGAGTCTTTATAAGATTTTCAAGAATCCCAAGGGCTCAGTACCTGTCTATATAAGAAATTCAAGAATCCCAAGGGGTCTATACCAAGGGTCAAGGGTCAGGGGGTACTCACCATGCTCGTTGAAGTGCTTTTCCAACTCCTCGTGAGAAATATTGGGCTGAGAGGCCGGCGCGTCCTCTACAGCTTGCTCTGGCCGAGTTCGGGAACATCTGTAGATGAGGTAGATACATTAACTTGTATTATTGTTGGTGTACAATTAAGTATAAATAAATAAATAAAATAAAAATTTTACTACATTAGCCAGCGTTAGCCATGTTAATTTCTAAGGACGACTCTTTTCCTGAGGGAATGAAAGATTTTCCTGTAGTAAAAGGTATCCTAAATGTTGACCTGAGTAATAAGTTATCTCTACACAAAACTTAGTTTAAATCGGTACAGTACTTTTTGCGTGAAACGCGCACATACAAACAGACAAACGGCCAAAATTTTTAATAAGTTTTTTTTTATTATATGTAGAAATAGCCTACGTGTTACTTTTTTGTATAAGCGGGTTCAAATCCCCTCGCACCTCTGATATTCTCATGTGCTCACATTCCCAACATTACCACCACTTGTCTTACGATGAAGGAGAACATCATGAGGAAACCTGCATATCTGAGAGAACCTAGCGAGTTGTCTGCAGACATGCTCAGTCCGCCCGCACTGGGCCGGCGTGGGGGACTGTGGCCTGATCCCTCGTATGAAAGGGAGGCCCGCGCCCAGCAGTGGGACGTAGTATTACCTGAGCATAGCATTGCTGCAGCGCAGCGCGAGCTCGAGGCCGTCGAGCCAGCAGTGGCCGGCGGCCTGCGACGGCGCGCGGAAGATCAGGTGCGCGGTGGGCAGCGGCTGCACCACTGCGCCTGCGCACAGACAGACAGACATGGTTAATATTGAGAAACAATAAGATATAGAAACATTTAATAATTAATAAAAAAACTCTAAGCGTCCGTACACACGCACGCACACATAACAAACAGACACATACTATTTATATTTAAAAAAATCAGAGAAGCGCGAGTGTCATTCTCGTATCGATGATTCCGTAGCAATAAAATAAGTTGTATTGCAAAAAAAATTTTTTTGCCATGTAACTACAATTTTTCCCTTTACTTGTATTTTAACACACTGCTTCTTGCCAAATTTTAGATCCTCAACGGGAAGTGCCCTATAGGTATTTGATACCCTTGAGAGTATCAACATATGCGGCATACACGGCCGTATCTTTTGATTGTGTTGACTTAGAAGTTTGATTTTTCACAGCTCCAAGCGATTGCAGATTTAATTATTTGATATTAATTTCAACTCGTTACCTCCTCGCGTTCCTGTGCAAAAGGATCTTGACAAATGAACAGACAGACGGACAACGAAATTGATTTTCTAGGGTTCTATTTTCCTTTTTATGGACAGAATCCTAAAGCCAAACAGGTTCGCCGATTATTTTTCAAAAACCATAATAAAACAATATTCATAAACACGTCATATACCTTACACAACTCCCTAACACGAACAAACAAACAGACACACAAACACCCACCGATGGTCTCATTGTGTGGTCCGCGCGGCGCCCAGATGCTCTGCTCGAGCGGGTGGTACAGCTTGAAGCAGAAGCCGTCCTTCTTGCTGGGCCGCTCGATGACCTGGCACGACGTCAGCAGCACCGTGCCCACCCAGTGGGACCGCTGCTGGGCAACATTGTTAGTAGAATGGTGGGCAAAAGTGTGAGTTAAATAGTGGGCAAAATTGTGAGTAAAATAGTGAGCAAAATTGTAAGAAAAAATTTGGCCAAAATTGTGAGGAAAAATCGGTGTCGGGCAAAAGTCAATGGGTTTTTTTTTAAATTAGTGGACAAATTGGTGAATAAAAATCATTCCTACACTATAATAATATTATTACTATAATATTTATTGTGTGTATTTAAAAACATAGTGGCTACGAATTCGCGACTCAAACACCAAAACGTGATCTAACAACAAGAGACAATCCCTCTACCGAGCATTCATTTGTCAACATACAATAACAATTATTAATTCGAGAAATTCTCAGTTTGTATGTTTGTCACTCTTTCCCGCAAAAACTAATGAATGGATTTTGATGGAACATTACAGTAACGTAGCTTAAACACAAGAATAACACATAAATTATAAATTTATTATTATTTCAAATATTAAACACATTTTTAACGTAATAAAAAATAGCCTATTCCACTCGGTAATGTAGCTTCCTATTAGTGAAAGTGTGTTCAATATCGAATCAGTAGTTTCATAGATCACCCTCTACATACAAACTTACACACTTTACCTCTTTATAATATTAGTGTAGTAGACATACACACTGACCTTGGCTTTAGGGCTTTTATACAGAAGCAACAGACCCGGCTTCAAAACACACCATAATTTCGTCCATGACTTGAGCGAACCTCGAACCTGCGAATAAAATAAAAGTTAAAATTGCCCTCAATTTCAAACTTTATTTTTAACGTTAGGAAATGCATATACGCATACCAAACCATAACATACCAAATTGAACCTTAAATGCAATGCTTAAAGTGGTTTTTTTTTTTCAAAAAAAATAATCAAAAACCCGCTCAAATGTTCAAATGAGCTCTCATTCGGTGAGGACATTTTTTGCCGCTGATTGTGTATCTAGTACCTACTTTTTTGATCGATGGTTACCAAGTTTAAAATCGATTTGATATGTGGAAGTTGCTCATAACCTTTTACCGTCTAGAAAAAAGCTGATAAACGAATTTTCTCGATTTATAGCTAAAAATATTCTCGATCAACTCATCTTTCAAACAAAAAAAAAATTAAAATCGATTCATCTCTTTGGGCGCTACGATGCCACAGAAAGACACGTTAAACTTATAACCCCCTCATTTTGCATCGGGGAATAATAAGCATAGAAACACACATGAAAAGACACACATTCCCCGGGATAACTCCGAAATTCACAAAACCTACCTTAAGCCAATCTGCCAAAACAACAACCGAGGGATCTTCTATCGAGTGGAGTAGCGCTGAGGCAGCTCTCTTTTTTTCTTTTCTATAATTCTGCCTTTGGGCTTTGTAGCTCTCTTTGCGGGATAGTGCCGTGCTAGGTGTCCTCGATACACCCCCCACCGCTGTTTCTGACGACTAGGAAATAAAAAATAATATTTAAATATAACGAAAACGAATAAAAATAATATATACGTATATTGTTTACACTTATGTACAGGATGTCCCAGAATGTAGTGTCAAGTGGAAGTTCAGAGATAGAGCACCCCTTGGGGTACCCGAATAACTCTCATGTAGGTATGTTACGCGATTGTTTAGTTTTTGAGTTATGATCTTTTTTCTGAATTTTTTGGAGAATTTTCAAACTGTACAGCTTAAAAAAGTTCTAAAAAAAAGTAGAAGACTTTTTTTGCAACTGAATATTCATTAGTTGTACTTTTATGCTTAAAATAATCGGCTTCGTAACTTTGATGGACATTATGAAAATGTTGTTGTAAAGTGAAAAATTTACGTTCGGTGAATTATGACTTATATTTTCAACTTTAAACAGGTGACTTCATGGTTCCTAAGTAGGTCTCAAAAGTTTTCCAGAATGTATGTATAGTGTATAATATATATATATATATATATATATATATATATATATATATATATATATATATATATATATATATATACATACAGAGTGTACTAAATTTCATCCAAATCTGTTCAGCCGTTACGGGGCGAAGACAAACATATACACATACCAACTTTCGCATCCATATGATAATTCCAACTAAGGAGAACCATATCAAAAATCTATAGAAAACAAAAACCACTATCAATTTGTTCAAAACTCAATAATAAAGGTAGTAAGAGCTTTGCTAACTTTTGCTGGCCAGGGGGTGGAAAGGGTGAATAATTACTAAAATTTTGCTTACGTAAGACTTGAACGAACCAAACATTTTAACCTTAAAAACGGACACTTACATTTTATTTATCTGTATTAAATATGAAAATTGACATATGCTTATAATCCATACACATAATAAAATTGTAACTAAGCCGAATCTGTACATTAAATATTTTTTGGAAAATCTTATTGGAATAAACATTATTATAACCCCCGAGACCCCCGAGAGGCCGTATCTAGTTTTTAGAATTTTTGTCTGTCTTGTCTGTCTCATAACAGGAACTCGCATAACAGGAAAACCACTGGAGGGATTTCGATGAAATTTGGTATGGTGATAGCTGATAATCCGGGTCAACATAAAGGATACTTTTTACCGCGGGAAAATATCTCATTTCTGAGAATAAATACAAAAACTGCAATGTAAGAGTATACTTATATGTAAAACCTAAGAATTTGGTTTTTTGTCATCTGAACGCGGGCGGAGCCGCGGGCAAAGGTAGTATTTTATAAACACCTACATTTCTTTATCGCTAAACTAAAACAGTATGATATCATATTTCAACATTACACTCAACGGGGATATAGCTCAGTGGTAGAGCATTCGACTGCAGATCGAGAGGTCCCCGGTTCAAACCCGGGTGTCCCCTATAGAATATTTATCTATTATTTATTCTTTTTTTTACTAATACACGATTGATTACATATCTATACTAATATTATAAAGAGGCAGAGTTTGTTTGTTTAACGCGTAAGTTTAGGGATTACTAATCTGATTTAAAAAATTCTTTTTGCATTATATAGCCCATTTTTTGAGGAAGGCTATAGGTATAGGCTATATGTTATCCCGAAAAAATGTACTGTTCCCGTGGGATAGATTTGTTTTTGTCTAGGGACGAACCCGAAGGGAAGCGAGGGTGAGTCGCTAGTGTATTCTAATTCTCGTATTATAAAGAGGTAAAGTTTGCGAGTTTGTGACGTTGTAGGGGGTCATCTCTGGATCTACTGAACCGATTTAGATGAAATTTGATAAGAAGATAGTTTGAGGCCCTGGGAAGGACATTGGATACTTTTTATCCCGGAAATATTGGTTTGACAGTTGAAATTCAGTATCCTTTAAGCGGATGAAAATGGGGATAAAAGTTTGTATTGAGAATCAAGCTAGGGACGAACCCGAGCGAAGCGAGGTTGAGTCACTAGTTTATTATAAAGTCCCCCGCCGCGTCTGTATGTCTGAACGCGATAAACTCAAAAACACGGATTTCTATATTATTTTGTACTTTAAAGCTTTAACTTTCTTCCATTTAAAAAAAATAGCATTATAGTAGCTTATCTATTATTCGTTAACAATTAACATTAATTTATTTATCACAGTAATCTATACTTATTATAAAAATAAGTCCCCCGGCCGCGTCTTTCTGTCCTCCTGTCTGTCTGTACGCGATAAACTCGAAAACTACTGAACGGATTTTTATACGGTTTTCAACAATAGAAAGAGTAATTCTTGAGGAAGGTTTAGGTATATAATTTATTATGCTTTTATGTAAATTAGCTGAAATACGGCGACAAATGTTGAAGAGGTCGCAAAAAATCTCGCCAAATGGGAACTTTCCACGCGAACGCCGCGTAAACTAGCAAAGATACAGTTAAGTAATGTACTAGAGAATTCAAAATCTATAAAAATGCTACAAAAAAGTCCGCGATAGCATATCTCTATCTCTTACGGTTGACTTACAATAACCACTTTTATGTTAACATTTTTAATTAAAAACATTACGTTATTTTCAAAGTTATTTTCTTTAGTTCGGTATTAATCCTTATCCAAATGAATATTTTAGTTAGCTTAGTCATTTAATGCAGATTAAAATTGCTCTTTACACTAAATCAATCAGATGAATAGTTTTTGAGATATCGTTGTTAGAAGTAATTAGTAGCGAAACATTTTTAATGCTTGGCGAGCATTGAGATGCCTACGGCGAGTCCATCCCCTCTGCCCCGCATCGCTCGACCGCCTGCTCAAGCTATATAAACCGGGCGATGTAGCGCGCGATCCTAGGATACTTTTTACCGCGGGAAAATATCTTATTTCTGAGGAAAAATACAAAAACTGCAATGTAAGAGTATACTAATATGTAACACCTAAGAATTTAGTTTTTGGTCATCTGAACGCGGGCGGAGCCGCGGGCAATGCTAGTATGTATTCTATTAATATTTGCATATTATAAAACATTATTTAGCTTCATGTTTAGTTCCATGACACGCTGTCTAAATAATTATCCTATAGCCTAAGTTAAACCCCATAGACTTACTTTATCCGAAGAAGTCCCGTCAGGGGGATGAGCTCTCTCCCCTGAAGCCGGTGCAGAAAGGGGAACACCCGGAGACCTGGGCGGAGGAGTAAGAGTTGGCTCTCCTAGAAACGTATAAAAGATATAGTTAAAGTTCCGTATATAATGCCTTTTTTAATATGTAATAAATATAAATATGTTGGTACATCAACACACAGCACCATCTAGTTCCATGGTAAGCTACGAGGCTTGTGTTATGGATACCAGATAGTTGATACACTACACATATATAACTTTAAATAAATACACATTATAACTATATACACTTATGACTGGAGTACAAATATTCGTGCACAAATGAATGCCCCCAGCGGGACTCGAACTCGCAATCGCTGACACAGCAAGCACTACAAACTGAGCCAAACGTGTCGTCACATAATATAACTTCTACACTTTAAATTGCTTTTTCCTTATAATCTTCATTAGTACATTCCATCTTCTTTGCCTGTACCCTTTATATATTGTTTATATAATTTATATATGTATAATATATAAAATTCTCGTGTCACAGTGTTTGTAACAAAACTCCTCCGAAACGGCTTGACCGATTCTTATGAAATTTTCTATGTATATTCAGTAGCTACTTTTCAAACCTCTAAGTGATAAGGGTGGACCACCCTAGGGACGAACCCGAGCAGAGCGAGGGAGAGTCGCTAGTAAACAATAAAAGTATAATAATTTTAGAGGCTTCAACTACTGGGCACTCTATGTTATTATTTTATTTAATCTATGAACAAAAATAACGTTTAAATTTTATTACTTTGTTTAAAACGATTTTACAAACACTATTGCTAAAAATTTTTTATTATAATTTAATGGGAATCTGTATAACTAAAAATGAATGTTTCTTCGTAAGTATGTTTGTCCAATATGCGTTTCTAAATCGTTCGTCCGATTGTGATGAAACTTTGGTAACTTATTCTACACATATCCGCGAAGGTTTCTCGATGAAAACAAGTTTTTTATATGTTGCCCTATACATATATGTCCCTTAGCACTGCAACCCCATGAACACACCCGAGCGCAGCGAGGGCAAGTCGCTTGTAATTATATCTATGAGAACACAAATAAAATGCAATTCTGTAGAACAAAAGTATCTAATGAGATATTTGATGAGTGCTTGCAACGCCTCCGTGGCGCAATCGGCTAGCGCGTTCGGCTGTTAACCGAAAGGTTGGTGGTTCGAGCCCACCCGGGGGCGGCTAAGTTTTTTTAAGAATTTCTATTTTTTTAAATATAAGTACTAAATCTATAGTAGATACTAGGTTTAGCTCATAAAATTGCTAGTTTTAATAGATAGCGCAAAAATAATCTTTTCAGCCGCCAGAACGACTGAACAGATCTGGATAAAATTTGCCATAGAGATAGATCATAATCTGGAATAGCACATAGACTACTTTATATTCCGGAAAAATGTACGATTCCCGTGGAATAGACTTGTTTTTGTTTTTCACTAGGGACGAACCCATGCGAAGCGAGGGTGAACCGCTAGTATAATATAAATAGGTAAAGACAAAACAGTTGAGTAGGTTTTTTTTTTTCTGTTTGTCAACCGATTTTCTTTCTTTTTTTTTTGTTTAGTAGCTATTGACAAGCTTTAGTGTTATGAATAAAAAAAATTGCAAACAGAGTTTTTAATGCAGATAGGTAAAATCTATTCATATATGTTTCCCTCAAATTTTCAATAATGATTACAGTTGAATTTTGACCACTGGACGAACATTAGTTTTTATTATTTCATAATGTCTTTTTAATAATTTTTACAACGCAAATAACACCCTAATTATGTATTGCTATTTATTGCCCATAACGCTTCCGTTTACGCTTTGTTGATATGAAATATCTATTCTAATATTATATAGAGGAAAAACTTGTCTTTTTATTTGTTTGTTTGTATCGAATAGGCTCCGAAACTACTGAACCGATTTAGATGAAATTTGGTAAGAAGATAGTCATCCTTGAGGAGGGTGAAAATGGTGGTGAAAGTTCCCGACGTTTCCCGACATTTTTTGTAAAATTGCGGGTAGGCACTGTCTGTAACAATTATATAACGCCTTTGAGACGTCTAAAGCCTCAGTCTCTCCCATCACCATGATTGCTGTAAAGCATTCGAAACGTCGGGAACCTAAAATCAAACACAAACAAAATCCGGGAAATAATCTAAAAAGATATTTTTATTTATATGTATGTGTCAAAAATATAGGTGAGTCACATTATGAAACGATTATATAAAAATTCAAAGCCACATAACCCTTTGCTAAAAACTTTCAAAAGATAGGTAAAATTATCTTTAAAAAACACAAGTTATCTAGCACATACATATCTCATATATCGTATTATCTTTCTATCAGTAAACATAACTTTGCTATCAAATGTCACATCCAAAATATGTATGTAAATGCCTAACATTTCTCATGTAAATTCTGAATACAAGCACTCGAGAGTACTCCATACATAGAGGTGGAAATTATTTTTTTAATTTATATACACCACCTTTGAAGGTGGAACGTATTCATTAAAAAAAAACAAATACGATTAAATATATTTGACATCTATACTAATATTGTAAAGAGGTAAAGTTTGTGAGTTTGTGTAGGTTGTAGGGGGCAATCTCTCGAACTACGGAACCGATTTAAATGAAATTTGGTAAGAAGATAGTTTAAGACTCTGGGAAGGATATAGGTTACTTTTTATCCCATAAATCATCCCTTATGGGGATGATATAAAAATGTTTCAAACAACAACCCTCATAGGCACATAATTTGTAACCGTGCAGTGACAATGGAATAAGCTGCCAGAAGACGTAATCTCAGCTCAAAATGTAAACCAGTTCAAAAACCGATTAGATGATCATTTTCTGAACTGCAAAAGGAGTAACAAGTTGGCTGAAGCAGAATACAGGCATTGCCAGTTGTCTCAACTGCCTACCTGATAATCTATATATGTAAATAAAAATATACGCCTGCGAAAGTTTCTGGCGCAACAAAAACCGAAACTTTTCTTTGAACTTCCTAAACCACTCGAGCTTAGGGACGCACCTGAGCGAAGTCGGGGTAAGCCGCTAGTATATAATAATAATAATAAAATTGAGAATAAAGTTTTAAAACATATACTAACCGTATGTGGGCGGTGTGGATGGCGCTGTGGCTGAGAGCACGACGCTTAGCGGTTGTTGCTGCTTCTGAAAATTATATCACGTAAATGTTAATAAATAAACAATGCTTACATCGACTTCGTAATCACAAGTAGGAAGTACTTTAAATATCCAAGCTTCCCTGAGCCCAACGACAGCAATTTGTCACAAACAAAAAAAATGAAAAAAAAAACTTTTTAACAAAAAAATAAAAACCGACTTCAAACAAAAGCACTAAAAAGTGAAAAATAACTGATTGGTAGTTTTCATTTACTATACATACCTAATCAAATATTTTCGAAGTCGGTGTGCTTTGCTTTGTATGGGCTGGCATCGATTTCGAAAATATTTGATTAGGTATGTATTTAATAGGTAGGCTTTAATTACTTAGCCAAAGCACACCGACTTCGAAAATATTTGATTAGGTATGTATAGTAAATGAAAACTACCAATCAGTTATTTTTCACTTTTTAGTGCTTTTGTTTGAAGTCCTGGTTTTTATTTTTTTGTTAAAAAAGTTTTTATTTTTCCCCCTTTTTAGTGTAGACAAGTAGTAGCAAAGTAAGGATTCTAACGTGTTAGGCTTGTCAAATCAAACAAAAGTAAGCCCCAAACTCAAAGTATCTACTATTAGCCGTTAAAGAGTTCCACCTATCCACCTTCTGGCCTTGCCATCAGATCAGGTCAACAACACCGAACCACTGTACTATCAACGAAAATAGAAATACTTGCAAAGTTTCAAGTCAATATGACAATTAGAAGTAGGTTAAATTCATTATTAGTTGTTTTTCCATCCTTAGGGGTGGTATTTTTTTTTGAAATTTAAATGGGACCAATCTGGAAGTATACCCTTTCAAACAAAACAAAAATTGTCCAAATCGGTTAATAAATGACGGAGTTCTGAGGTAAAACATACAGTCGAATTGAGAACCTCCTCCTTTTTGAAGTCGGTTGAAAATCTATCCAGATTTGTAGCAGTTGACAAAAATCTCATCGTTCTAGACCGACCCGAGATCCAAACCCAGGACTGTAAAACTCATAATCTGAAATGGGACGAGTTACGAAAAGCCTCTACAACTGTAAGACCGTAATAGTAATAAAAAGGTATGTAATAACGATGTCAAATAAGCTCTTGAAGTGTAAAATATAACGTGACACTTGACCTTTCGGTAACAACTCGGCCGTATAAAGGTCGAGCAAACCACCAAATTTGAACCAGACAAATATTATTATTTAAATAAAAATAGGACGTTTAGTTAGTTTTCATTCCCTTGGTGGCAAATTTTATATACATGTAAAGAAAACCACTTCATATGCAAGTGCTTTTTTTAAGTTTATTTTATTTACATAAATACTTTTTGATTGATTCCAAATTTACTTTTTTTTTGTTTTTTAACTTTGACATTTAATAAAATAATTGATATAATATGTAATTATAAAATTTTCCTCGAAGAGTTTATTTATTAGTTTTTTGTTATTTAAATTGAAATTGAGGCTTTAAATGTTGTTTCTTTTATTATTACAGGTGAGTTAATATTTTATTGTGAGTGTAATTTTTAAAATGATTTTTGTATTTAAATTCTAATAGTGAAATAAATCTTTTATTATTACAGAAACGCAGATAAGTATTTATTTTTTAAATAAGATAAATAACATTATTATATAGGTATATTCTAAGAAAACGCAATGGTAATATGTAGTAACTAGCTACTTGCCCTGGCTTTGCTCGGGATTCGTTGTACGTTTTAACGGTATATTATCTATACTAATACATATTATAAAGAGGTAAAGTTTGTGAGTTTGTGAGATTGTAGGGGGTAATATCGGGATCTACTGAACCAATTTAGATGTTTGATAAGAAGATAGTTTGAGACCCTGGGAAGGACATAGGACACTTTTATCTCGGAAATCATCTCTTAAGAGGGTGAAAATTGGGATGAAAGTTTGTTTTGGAAAGCAAGCCAGGGACGAACCCGAGCGAAGCGAGGGTGAGCCGCTAGTATGATATATAGCCTTCCTCAATAAACGGACTTTCTAGTGCGAAAAGAATTTTTCAAATCGGAGTTCCTGAGATTAGCGCGTTCAATAAAACAAACAAACAAAGAAAGAAACAAACAAACTCTGCCTCTTTATAATATAATAATAATGTCATCTTGACCGATTTCGGCCACGGCGACCAAACTCACTGAGACTAGACTGCTGCAAAAGATATTATAGTGCACTCTCTATTCTTTTTACTCTCAAAGTCCGATGGGACGATAATTATACACGAGCCGTAAGAGTTAAGCCGCATGACCGACGAGACGCGTGCTCTCCGAAGCACGGGGGTGAACACCGGCAACTTTCGAACTCCAGGCTACTAATTAGAATATCTTAACAGAAAATCTCAGTAATCAAACTTGGCCCGACCCAAGACTTTAACCCATAACTCAGCATTTGCAGCTGTACATCCTAGCCAATAGACCACGAAGGTACTCGTACGACGAAGCTACATATTTCGAGAGACGAAAATTGTTTAACAATAAAGGACTTTCAATTTTTAAAAATGGCCAAATCGGGCCAGATTATATAGAAGGAGAACTAAGAATATTAAAATTATTTATATATTTAGTAGGAAACCTCACACAATATACGATATTTACAGATTTCTGCTAAGGAAATACAAAATTTTCTATAACTGTCAAATTAAAAAAAAACAGGCAAAGACTGATCATAATCTTAGTCTACTCAAATAAAAAAAATTGCATATCAAACGTCATAAAATATGTCAATGTCATGAATGTCAAACTACAAACACTGATAAGTGATAAAATTCAAGAATAATAAAATTCAACAAAATTTACTTCTTACAATGATTTAATTGTTTCTTTTTATGAACTTTTTAGCTATTTTTTCTTTAAAATTTCCACTAAACTGCGAATATATATATATAAGTAAACAAGAAAATTTTGACCACAGTCTGACGTAACGATCTGAGAATCATTCTTAGACGTGTTATCGCGGGTTAGTCTTGTTTCATGAAGTAAGTTTTAGGTGAAAAATTCATTAAGGTTTTGTGTAAATTAGCTGAAATATGACAATGATTGTGGAAGATGTCGGAAGCAATCATGCCGACTGGGAGCTTTACGAACTTTACGAGCTTACACCGATAGAGTTACGAGTACATAAAAACAATGTATTACGTTATTATTTCTCTTAAAAAGAACTCTATACTCAATCACGCCAGAACGGCTGAACGGATCTGGATGAAATTTGGCACAGAGATAGATTATAGTCTGGAATAACACATAGGCTACTTTTTATCCCGGAAAAACGTACGGTTCCCGTGGAATAGGTTTTTTTTTGTTATCAATACAAAAGACACTTAGGGACGCACCGGACGAGCGATGGTAAGTCGCTAGTTCATAATATTGACGTAGACATTTACGTAAAACCTGACTGCAAAAAAACGAGCTTTAGCCAGCTTTATCTCGTCTCTGCACAAGGACGTGAAGAAAGAAGTTAGATTCTATAAAATTTACGTTCCAAAACAGAAAAGTTTAACCAAAATTAATTCAAGAACTTTCATTATATATATATATATATATATATATATATATATATATATATATATATATATATATATATATATATATATATATATATATATAATATGTCCAAATATAAAACGGATGCTTATTCCAAGGACAGACGACTTATACAACGACGTACTCATACCGATATTGCTTTATTTAATGAAAATTGTAAGCGACATATTACTTAATACAACTAAATTAAACCTACCCTTAAGAATATATTAAAATTTCAACCCAAGAAGTATAAATTTTCTCGGTATTTCTCAAATTTCTCAAAAACACTCAAAGAACATCTAATTTAATAATAATAACTTTATAACATTGACTCTAAATTAATTTAAAGCTAATATTTACTACTAAAGGCAGTGGCAGCCCAGTGGTAACGCGCTCGCTCGGTAAGCCGAGTAGAGCGGTTCAAATCCCGAGTCTCTCACCTCTGATATATTCATGTGCGAATCATTTCTAACATGAATACCACTTGCCTTAGGGTATTGCCTATGGCCTGATCCCCCTCGTATTGAAGGAGGCCCACCCCCAGCAGTGGAACGTTAAAAAGGGCTGAATACATAAATACATACATACATACATATTATTTTAACTTTCAACAATATGGGAAGGAATTTTATTAAAATTTATATAAGAAACGATGTATACAGTAAACAAAAAATTATGACAATAAGTACACAAAAAAAATAGCTATATACAATTGGTGATATGACTCAACATCTGAACACACACAAGAAACAAATCTCTATTAAGATCTTCCTTTTTTTAGGTCGGCAATAGCCTCGTGGGTGTCGGAAGCTTAATACTGAGTGCTCTTTAATAACATCTAATATTATAAACGCGAAAGTGGATTTCTTTGACGCCTCACGATGCCCAAATCTGAAGCAATCTTGAAAGACAAAATAAGTGAAGCAAAATATGGAATACTGTTAGGGCCAATTCACACTATGTATAGTTTCGATCACAGCTCGTTTTCGGTCCGTTATCGGTCTGGTAGATTATTTTATACAATACACAATGAATATTTCAAACTATCAATATCCGGTCGAATCACACTCCAGTTACGTTTCTTATATATAAATACTTTACCAGACCGATATCGGACCGAGAACAGACTGTGATAATCACTATAGTGTGGATCTGCCCTAATTCATCATTCAGTAAGTTTTCTTAGTTAATTTTAGTTTTCCCAGACGGCTTATTTTTTCCGACACCTCCAACAAATATCGTTATATTTTAGCTAATGTATACAAAAACTTAACAAATTATATACTAAAACCTTTCTCGAGAGCCACTCTATCCATTGGTGAAAACATCATGAAAATCGGTGCAGTAGTTTTTGAATTTATCGCGAACAGAAAGACAGACAAACGCGGCGGAGGACCTTGTTTTATAATAATATGTAGTGATAAATAGGCAAAAACAAAAAGAAAAAATAAAGAATTTCTTTTTTTTAATTGTTTAGTAGTCATTGACGACCTTTAAGTGTTATCAGTAAAAAAAAATTGAAGTTTTTTTTTCATAGACAGATAAACTCTACTCACGCATGTTTTTCTCAAATTTTCAATAATAATTATGGTCGAATTTTCAACGACTGGACGAACACTGGTCTATAGTCTATACTTATCTATACATGTAATATAAAATTCTGAGTGGAATCTGTACATTAAATTTTTTTTTGGAAAATCCTATTGAAATAGTTATTATCGAGGTCGAATCTATAAATTTTACAATTTTTTGTCTGTCTGTCTGGGAACGCATCACGAGAAACCACTGGACAGATTTTGATGAAATTTGGTATAATGATAACTGGTTATCCGGGTCAATATATAGGATACTTCTTACTATGGGAAAATATCTCATCTCTGAGAAATCTATACTAACCGTTAAAACGTATCTAGGGACAAAACCGAACACAGCAAGGGTGAGTCGCTAGTACTTAATAAATGTATAAATAAAAGATAAAATACTTTGATATTAGACAACAAACAACAATTTATCACATCGTCCAAAACTTTAAAGACACTTTAGGACCATTTAGTTCATTACAGATTAAATTATTCAAATCAATTCAGTGGTCTTTCGTCTTTCAGGCCACACCTGGCTTTTGAGAGTTTTCTATCTATATAAATAGATATACTCGTATAATAGAATCGGTACGTTTCAACGGTCAGTATCGAATAGATAGATTATATATTATATTACTGCTCCGCTCCCTTGGGCAGTAGCATGATGATATATAGCCTATTGCCTTCCTCAATAAACGGGCTATATAATGCAAAAATAATTTTTCATTATCATATAAAGAATATTTCATATCGGATCAGTAGTTCCTAAGATTAGCGCGTTCAAACAAACGAACAAACAAACATACAAACTGTTTCTGTACAATATTAGTAAAGATTAGATTTTTGTAGGTCTAGTTCTACTTTATAGTATAGATAAGTACTCGATTTCCGATACTTCAGTTATGTGTGTGTAAAAAGAATTGATAACACCATCCCTAGTGGCATCGCTTACAATGAAAGACGAGAAATACACATGACCCGATTCGGGATTAGTCATTAGAACCCAGAATCTAAAAATCTAGACCGTATTATATTAATAAAAAATATAATACTAACCTTCAAATAGTTGGGCGTAGATGTGTGAAAGTGGTAGTCTGGAGCTCTCAACGCGGGGGACGATGGGGTAGCGGTGGGGGTGGTCGCCTCTATAGCAGGGGATGAACTCATTTTGATTGGAATTAGGCCATTTTAATACTTAGGGAAAACGGGACAGACGGACAGAAACAGGAGCATGTGTTAGAATGACTTAAGTATTATTGCTTTAGTGCTATGTATGTTTAGAAAACGCGTGCTTGTATAATAAATATAAAATTGTATCTTCGTTAAAGCGAAATTATGTACAATATTTTTTTTATTGGTAAATAACTTTTTTTTATCACTGTTCAAAAGACACTGGTTGATCAATGGAATGCTAAACAAATAAGTTCTTATTATTTACAAAATATAATATTATTTACAATTGGCAGTGAATATGTTAATATGGAATGTGGGAGAGGAAAGGGAATGGTTATTGATGTCACCTGAAATAATTAAAAAAAAACATATTAAAAACTTCTTTTTATTTCTTCTTGAACCCAGAAAATGTTCAAAATAGTAGGGGAGCCCAAGAGGGGATTTTCTGTAGTTACTCGAGCGCGGCAGATTAACATAAAAGAGGTTACCTTGCACTCTATTGAGTACTTTCACCACAATATAAGTCTTCTATATAAAGGGGCGCGTCTAGGGAAGCCGATTAAAATATTTAAAAAATGTTTTGATAAGGTAAAAATACTTGAAACCGTCAGATTAAGGTGTGGTAGGCTAGTCACATCCTGAAAAGTGTCCAATTTAATAATCTGCCGATTTGCACAAGCCTAAGAGGCAAAAATCATCATAAACTTTATAGTCGACATATTCATAGATACCATAATACCATCTCCAAACAAAATAACTTGTCCAACTAACTCTGTACTATACTTATCGTATTAACATTATTATGAAAACTTCTCAAAACTTTAACAAAGATGCTTATTCATATCCCATTATTGGTCTCAAGAGGCTCTAGATAAGAGCATAAAAGGAAAAGTTTTAACTTCACTAACTTCTGCCTACATTTTCATTCATATGTATGGCTATTTATAGTCCAAGATCCCGATATATGTGGTGGACCTCTCATTCTTTGTCCAGACGAAATATATTTTTTAAACAATAAAACATATTAACATGAATAAGCACAGACAAAAAAGTTCAGTACCTTCTTCTCCTCTGTTTGTCAAACGATTTTCGTTTTTTTTTTTGTTTAGTAGCTCTTGAGCTTTAGGCTACGAGCTTTAGTGTTATCAATAAAAAATATTGTAACAGTTTGTTTTTGTTTGTTTTTTCAAGAGTTAGTTTTTGTTTACATAGATAGGTAAATTATAATTAAATATAATAAATAAATAGGTTTTAGAAAAAAATTGACAACGACAAACCAAAATTTATAGTGTGATTAAAATTTATTTTAAAATATATACGAAAATAACATTAAACTTTAATTAATAGTATAAAAAATGTTTTAAAAGACAAAAATATCGAAAGTGTATCATATTACAAGACATAATCAGAGATATATATATAAGAGACATATCATAAGACATATTCCGCGATAAACAACTGCATTCCCAAGGAGGGTTGACGTCAGGCAGGCGGCCGGTCGTAAAACTTTTGCCAAATCCTTTCAGCAGTACAGAGGATGTACTGCGCCAACCCCAAGTAATTGGGAAATGGGCAGGGAGAAGAAGAAGATAGGTAAATTCTATTCAAATGTATACGTTTTTCTCTATTAATGATTATTGTCGATTTTCGACCACTGGACGGACACTAATACTTTGGACTACCGAGCTTCACTCAGAGTTTTTGGCCAAAAGTACAACTTTCTTTTTAATTTGGCTTAAAAACAAAAAAAAACAAAAAACTTGAAAAAATAAAAAAAAACAAAAGTAAAAACTTTTTATCCCACCGGGATTCGAACCCGGACACCTGTGATTGTAAATCTTGCGCCTTGGCCGCTCAACCACAATGCTTACGCCCGAGCGTGCGAAATTAGCGACCATATTTTGCGTGGAATAATGCGAATGGAAACCGCATGAAAACTCGAAAAAACGCGTTTTTTCCAGCCATAAAACTAATCTAGATCGATTTTTCGCCCCAGAAAACCCCCATACCAAATTTCAGCGAAATCGTTACAGCCGTTTCCGAGATCGCCGGTATAAAAAAATAAATATACAAGAATTGCTCGTTTAAAGGTATTAGATAAGAACGCTTGTCATTTAATTATTATCAGTTATCTACATGTATTACAGTCACATCTTATCAAAGGTAGATTCGGCATCTGATTAGCCAAAATTTTAATACCTACAAAATATTATTTTTAGCCGATATCAATAAAGGAGAAAGCCGAATGTATTTCGTCATTGTAACATTTTTACCCGACTACGGCGAAACAAAACGAGGGTTATGATTTTGACCGGTATGTATGTATATACGTAGGTATGTATAATAATTACATATACCTACTATGTATGTGTGTATTTTTTTTATAGTAGATGTACACTGGTAGAGCATAAGTTATGTCTTGATAGAAGTCTCATATACACCTTTTTTTTAATGTTGGGAAATGTATTTAGTTACCAACTGCATACATACAAGTGGTTATGTGGGACTCACCGGCTAGAAAAGTCAGTACTACCCAATAAAACCTAAAGGAACCTCCCCCGTATAATGGAGCGTCGCAGGATCGATTACGCGCTCAAATACGGCGCCCCGACGGCAGGTCTGCCAAAGCAGACCACAACAACCATGGGGTTGCTCCACTTGAGAGTCTCTTGAGAGACAGTCCACTCTGCTATCAGAAAAGTACCAGGAGCCACCCGCATGGCACACCACCCACCGAGGTAAACACACATTAGGGGGAGAAACTATCAATCCCTTTTTTTTTTGTTGACGCTGGGGAAACCCATCATGGGGACCCTGCCCGCCGTCATAACGGACAAGGTACTGTGAGACTCCTACTCACTAAAACCCACAGCGGAACCCTTCGCCGCAGTGCAATGGGGCGTTGCAGGATCGCTTGCGCATTCACTACAACACCCCTGCGGTCGGCAAACGGAATCTCAATCTTAATTAAAACTAACAATCCCTATTTCACCCCCTTCAAGTTTCATTTTTGTGACAAAACGTAGCCTATGTCCTTCTCCAAGGTCCCATCAATCTCTATACCAAAATTCATCAAAATTGTCCTGAAAAGGCAACAGACAGAGTTACTTTCGCATTTATAATTTTAGTATTTATATCAAATATTCGCGTAAATCTAAGAAAGCATCATATAATATTGTTTGTTCAAACACGCTAATCTATATTGTTCTTTTGCATGTCATAGCCTATATATTAAGGGAGGTTATAAAGGCTATCTAAAATGACGCTACGACCATAAAGAGCACAGCAATCCATATATAACTTTAAATACATTCATATTATATATATAAACACCCATGACTGGAGTACAAACATACATGCTCATCACACAAATAAATGCCCCTAGTGGGATTCGAACCCGCGACCGCTGGCATAGTAAGTAGAGCCGCTACAAACTGAGCCAAACGTCGTCAAATATGACATATCATAATCATAAAACACAAAACATTTAGTGAAAGCCTGAAACTAAATTTTCATTTAAATTCCTTCACGAACTAATAACGCGTTCTATAATTAATGGGAGCTTGTTAACCTATGTGAAGTTAGAAACTGACTAAACAATAGTTAGTTTTTATCAATTCTATTCGATTGTACTACGTTTGTACCGGATTGTACCGCTTTTTAAATCGTTTGTACCTCAAAGGGGTGAGCAATATGGGGGTTCGAATATATATATGGTTCACAGCCAACCTAAAAATATGACGTTTTTGTTGATGCCAATTGGAAGCATATCGTTTGTACTGGATTGTACCGCCCTTAAAATCGTTTGTACCTCAAAGGGGTGAGAAATATAGGGGTGCGAAAATATGTATGGTTCACAGCCAACCTAAAAATACGTCATTTTTGTTGATGCCAATTGGAAGCATATCGTTTGTACTGGATTGTACCGCTCTTAAAATCGTTTGTACCTCTAAGGGGTGGGAAATATAGGGGTGCTAAAATATGTATCGTTCACAGCCAATCTAAAAATACGACATGTTTGTTGATGCCAACTGGAAGTATATCGTTTGTAAAGGATTATACGATTATTAGAACTGAAAAAATATACATAAATAAAAAAATATCATGTTTATAAATATATGTACATAATTTTTTTTTCCTACAAAAAATCTCTGCGGTATAAACGGGTACAAACGATGACAAGCCGAGAACTTATTGTAACGTTCAATTAGCGTATGTATAATGATAATAGAAACGAAATTCTCGGGGGTACAAACGGGTACAAACGGTGAGAAGCTGAGAACTTATCGTAAAAATCAATTAGCACGTGTATAATGATGATACAAACTAAATTCTCCACGGTACAAACGGGTACAAACGAAGAGAAGCCGAGAACTTATTGTAACATTCAATTAGCGTATGTATAATGATGATACAAACCAAATTCTCGTCGGTACAAACGGTGAGAAGCCGAGAACTTATTGTAAAATTCAATTATCGCATGTATAATAATGAAAGAAACAAAATTCTCGGCGGTACAGACGGGTACAAACGATGAAAAGCTGAGAACTTATCGTAAAAATCAATTAGCACGTGTATTATGATGATACAAACCAAATTCTCCACGGTACAAACGGGTACAAACGAAGAGAAGCCGAGAACTTATTGTAACATTCAATGAGCGTATGTATAATGATAATAGAAACGAAATTCTCGGGGGTACAAACGGGTACAAACGATGAGAAGCTGAGAACTTATTGTAATATTCAATTAGCGTATGAATAATGATAATAGAAACGAAATTCTCGGCGGTACAAACGGGTACAAACGAAGAGAAGCTGAGAACTTATCGTAAAAATCAATTAGCACGTGTATACTGATGATACAAACCAAATTCTCCACGGTACAAACGGGTACAAACGATGAGAAGCCGAGAACTTATTGTAATATTCAATTAGCGTATGAATAATGATAATAAAAACGAAATTCTCGGGGGTACAAACGATGAGAATCTG